GCACGGCCATGCGCAACAAAGTACCATTCGGTTTTACCGCCCAGACACCCCTGCGCAAACAAGTACCAATCCGCAGTACTTCCTGAACACCCTTGCGCGACCAAATACGACACCGCAGTAACTCTGGAACACAATTGCGCCGCATATTACGAAGCCGTAGTACGTCTGGAGGCACGGGTTTTCGCAATCCCCCCCTCCCCAATCCCCCCCCCACCCCCCGCCTCCCCCCCCCCCACCACACACGCACGACCCCGCCACCCCGCCCCCCCCCCCACCCCCCCCCCCGCGACACACACCCAGCAACACCGACATCTTCAAATTTTTCGCAATCTACCCCCCCCCCCCCCCCCCCCCCCCCCCCCCCCCCCCCCACCCCCACCCAACAACACACACAACGCACCCCCACGTGCCACCCCCCCACGCCCGTGTTCAGATTTTCGCAATCTAAAACCCCCCCCCCCCCAACCCCGCCCCCCCGCCGTCCCCGTCCGCCGCCTCTCCAGCGTCCGCGCCCCCCATCGCCGCACTTCCTCTGGCCCGCTGGCTTGCGCCCGCCCGCGCCCCTCGACGGACACATCGCCGGCCCCCGACCCGCTCCGCATCCCGGCCTCCCGTCGCCTTTCACAGCAGCCCGCGCCCCCCCCCCCCCCCCCCCACCGCCATTGCCCCGAGATCCACTCTGCCTCCGCGCCACCACGCCGCTACCTTGCCTTCCCCGCCACCGCGCGCACCCTGCCTCCCCGCCCGTCTGGGCCTGAGCCGCGCGTTCGCGCCCGAGCTGCTCCGCTGTCACAACGGGCCGTCTTGGAGACCGTCTCGGGCCGTCTTGGGCGCCGTCTTGGGCGGGTTGTCTTGGGGGGCGTCTTGGGTGGGCCGCCTTGGGTGGGCAATCTTGGAGGCTGCCTTGGGTGGGCCGTATTGGAGGCCGTCTCGGGCCATCTTGGACGCTGTCTTGGGCGTCTTGGGCGGGCACGTCTTTGGGCCTTTATGGGCATCTTTGGGTCCTTTCTGGGCACTTTTGGGCATTCGCCTTAGGATTCCGCCTTGCCGCCTCGGGGTCCGCGAAAGGGGGCTCCCACGGGCGGGGGCGAAGGTCACGACCCCCCTCCCCTCCAGCGCCAAGCGTTGGGGGGAAGGAAGGGTCGTGACTGCCCGTCCCAACCCCTCTTTGGCGGACCCGCGTGAGGGGTGTAGCGGTGGGCACTAGCCCTAGGCTTCCGCCTCGCCGCCTGCGATCCGCGAACGGGGGCTCCCACGGGCGGGGGCGAAGGTCACGAACCCCCCCCCCCCCCTCCAGCACCAAGTGCTGGGGGGGGGGAGGGGTCGCGACTGCCCGTCCCAACCCCCCTTTCGCGGATCCGCGTGAGGGGTGCGCCTTTTGTGGTATTCTTTGGGTTCCTTGGGCGTCTTGGGCATGTTGGGCTCCTGCCGTGCCCGTCTGGTTTGCCGTGCTGGTCTGCCCTGCTGATCTGCAGTGCTACTGAGCTGCCGCGCTGATCTGCCATGCTGGTCTGCAAGGCTGGTCTGCCTTGCTTCTCTGCCGTGTTGGTCTGCTCTGCCGTGCTGCCGTGCGGGTCCATTGGGGCCCTCGGCCTTCCAGGGCCCAGTGGTCTCGGGGCTGCCGTGCGGCTCTCTTGGGTCTTCGGGTGTCTGGGAAAACTGCGAGGATGTCTCAAGCGACGCGGTGGGACAGCACCGCGGCGACAAACAACAAACAAACAGGTGGTCTGATCTCCCAGTGATCCCTGGTGCGAGCATGGGGGAGGGCAGCAACGCACCAACAAAAACAACGGTGGTCTGGTCTCCCAGTGATCCCTGGTGCGAGCATGGGGGAGGGCAGCAGCGCACCAAAACAACGGTGGTCTGATCTCCCAGTGATCCCTGGTGCGAGCATGGGGGAGGGCAGCAACGCACCACAAAAAAAAAAAAAAAAACAATCTAGTTGCGCTGCCGCGCGATTCCGCCACCGCGCTCGGGCGGGCGCAGCCGGGGGGGGAGCCGTTCCCGAGGGGAGGGGGAGGGGAGGAGGGGCCGCTGAAGGTCCTACCATTTTTTGTTTTTGGGTGATTTTTCTGCCAGAAAAGGCAAAAACGTAAGGACTTGGCTGCAAGAACGAGCGTCTCTTGGGCTCGCTGCGTCGGGGGGGGCCTTATATTATTTGCAAGGAGCGCAAGGGGCCCGACATACGCCTACCGCTGGACTGTCAGTAGCGCAGCTTAGCTTAGACTCTATGCAGTTTCAGACAGCTTAGCTGCCGATATTGCCTAGCTTAGACTATCCAACTCAGCGATTGGCTGTCCAGCTGGCCGTCAGGAGCGCAGCTTGGCTTAGCTGAGACTCTCGTATGCCTGACAGTCCAGCTCATTCCAGCTCAGCAATCTCTCAGTCCAACTCAGAATATTGTTGTCCCACAGCAATTTGAGCTTACAGCAGTTTGGGCGGCCAGACATCTTTGATTTCTATATGTATATTGCACTTGTGTTCTTGGTATCATTTTACACGCAGTCGGTCGGCTTCGATGTCTCTTCCTGAACATGGCGCAAGCACGCCGCCCCCACGCTTGCACAAAGTCAAGGGCCACACCCTGCGCCTGCAGTTGCTGTGCGAAGATCTGCCCGAACACTTGCAGGGCACACTGAACTTCAGTGTGCCAGCCGAGATTGAGCTTGTGACAAAGAGCTCTGCAGCTAGCGGGCCTGTGCGAGCGCCGCCAGCTCCCGAGGAGGCAGGATCGGGAGGCCAGGCCGCAAGTTCGGGAGGCGAGGCCGATGCACCAGTAGGGCCAGCGGCGAAGAAGCTCAAGACGAAGGGCAAGGACGGCGAGTCATCGAGTGATGTGGAGGTCGTGGGCGTTCCTTACGTGGTCGAGCAGGAGACGAAGGGCACGCCGAGCGAGCCGACGGTGAACTCCCACTCTGTGGCGTGGGGTCAGCCGCAGCAGGTCGAGAACGCGCCGAAGGCGGTGGGCCTCCACCATGAGTCAGCCCAAGTCGAGAACGCGCCGGCTGGCTTCCATCCTGTTCCATCCGCCACGGGAAGTCAGTTTGGTCTTGACACCGCTCCTGTGCCTGCCACCACTCCACTCTTGCCCGTCGAGAGTCAAGCAGCATTCCAGGGTCATGTTGCTGCTGAAGCTGCCACCGTTGTGGAGGACTCATTGGGCGACGACGGCCAAGGGTTTCCAGTGCCTCAACTTTCGAACGCCAATTCAATTATAAGGTCGCCACGTCCCAAATGGAACGGGTTTGTCTTGCAGCGAGGGCCTATCGGAGAGCAGCAGCGAGCGGATGCCCTTCAGCCAAGTACCCTGCCGCCAGGAGATGCCTTTCAGCCAGATACCTTGCCGCCAGCGGATACCCTTGAGCCAGGCACCCTGCCGCCCGATAGCCAGGAAGTTTCCTTTTAGCCATGCGACTTCTTCCATGTTAGCAGTCTACGACTTCCACGTCTACGCATTCTACGCCGTCCACGTGGGCGACTTCATCCATGTCAGCAGCCACAAGCGTGGCCTCCATGTCAGCAGCCACAAGCGTGGCCCCATATGCTAGCGGCAGCGAGCCACGAGCAACTCTCGCAGCCCTGAGCCGATTGAACAAGCAAAAAACAAAACAAACAAAAACTCTCGATGCGTCAGTCTGCGACGATGACACGACGACGATGACGACGACGAAAACGACGACGCGGACGAAGTCGACGACGACGACGATGACGACATGACGACGACGACGACATGACGACGACGACGGCGATGACGATGACGACGACGACGACGACATGACGATGAAGACGACGACGACGACGACGGCAGATGAATACGACGACGACGACGGAAGACAGGTTGCTGACGAATACGAAGACAACGATGACGACGACGACAACTGGGTGCAATCTATGCGGTGCTGAATGCCAGCCATGGTTCGCATCTTGTTCGTGTAATTATCTAGTGGCCTTCGGCCAATCCCGCCACTGTGCCTGGGTTCTGGGTTAGAGGTCTCTTGGAGGTTTGTGTGGATATCTTGGGAGGCATCTCGGTGGCCTCTTGGAGGCAGTTCTGACACCTCTTGGGGCCGTTCGGGGGCTCCTTGGGGTTTCTTTTTAGGTCTATTGGGGGCTTCGTGGGGCCTCTTGGGCCACTGGGGGCATATTGGGCTCTCTTGGAGGCTTCCTCACGCCTCCTGGGGGCTTCCTGGTGCACAGTTCGTGTTCCCCCCATAGGACCCCTCCTTGGGGTCTCTCGTGAGCTGTTTTTTCGGTGGTTGAAACATATTTTCTTGTTTCGGCCCCCAACCCTTGAAAAAACACCTGCAAGCTTAAAAGCCATCGGCGTTTGTTTTGTTTATGCGCTGGGAAAGCACAATGGAAAAACATAACGAGCAAACGCGAGAACACATGAAAAAAACAATGAACATCAACGGTTTGGGCCTCTTGGGGCCTTTGGAAGCATCAGCGATGTATGACCTCTTGGGCTCTTGGGAAGCATCGACGATTTGTGCCTCTTGGGGCCTTCTTGGGAAGCCTCAGCGGTTTGGGGCCTTGGGAAAAGCAGAATGAACATCAACGATTTGGGGCCTCTTGGGGCTGGTGGGCTGGCACGGTGCGTGTGTATATACCAGTGTCCACCCCCACCTCGTCGAGGCCATTTTGGCCAGAGTCAGTTGCGCTAGCGGTACTCGCGAGGCCAATTTGATTCGAATACCTTGGATCCATCCTTCCGCTTGCAGTGTTCGCCATGGCGGGTAAGAGGGAGCAGAAGGGCCGCGCAGCAGGAGCAGCTTCGAGTGGCGCGAGGGGTCGTGGCGGCGGCAGACCCGCTCTAGGTGGGCCAGAGTTGTCTCCAGTGAAAAGACAGAGAAAAACAGCGGGCCAATCGACGTGCACGTGTGCATGCTGCGAGCGGACGTCGAACCTCAAGGACTGTCCCTCCTCTTAACCTCCTCAAATCCTCCAATATCCTCGTCCCTCATCGTCACTTCTCTTATCCTTGTCCTTTTCTATTACAGGATGTGAAGTGGGCAATGACTGAGAAATCTACCTCAGGCGCTGGCGTGCCCGTGGTGACCCCCATCGGCGACGCGTGCGAGGAGTGCTACCTCCTCGGCGTGCGCGTGCTGATGTACGACACGTGGGAGCTGTTCGTGAAGGACTATCACAAGGGCGGCGACTGCAGGAAGAAGACCGAGCAGGCTCGCAAGACACAGAGGGAGCTCCAGGATGACTCCTTCGAGAACCCGACCTTCCAGTTCGGCGACAAGAACGTGAGCACGGGCACGCAGAGCGCTGTGGAGGTTTACTACAAGTTCGACGCGTGGACGGAGAGCGAGATGCGTGCCAGTTGCGGAGTCGCTCGGTTGTCCAAGCCAATGTTGAAGGCGCAGCTGAAGATCGCGCACCCCTCGATGCGGGACGCCAACGAGGAAGATACGCTGTACCTCTTTCTGCCTGATCCCGAGACTAAGCATTTCCGCAAGGTAAAGATCAGCCAGTCGCAGTTGGTAACGCTTGCTAGCACCTTCCTGACTGCGCGCGCCTTGCTCTACGACAGCCACGCTACGGAGGCGTTCGCCCACGCGAGTGCGGTGGCATTGTCCGAGAGCGGCGCAGCCGCAGCACTCGTAAAGGGCCTCACCCCATTTACTATGTTCAGAGAGAAGGACCCTCAAGAGAGCTAAGGACGACAAGGCGGGCGGCGGCGACGAGGCTGCTGAGGAGCAAGAAGATGATGGCCCAGAGCTTGAGGGCGTTGCCGCGGAGAGTCGTGCCCAGACACCTCTACCCTCACCGCCAGCGGGCAAGAGGCAGCGGCTTTCGAGAGGCGCCTCCTCCGACCCGCGGAAGGATTGCCCCAGGGACTTCGACGACACCTCGTCGAGAGTTTCGATGGCTTCTCGCCCTGCAGCTAGCGCGGCAGGTGGAGGTCGCGATAACACTCGTGAGAGCTTGGGCTCCGCGAGCGCCTTCGGCGACGACGACGGACCTACTGGTTCCAAATCCCGCCCCCGTGGTGACGACGATGACATTGGAGCTGGTACTGCTGCTGACACTCATGGCCATGCTACTCATGGCCATACATCCAAGCAGCAGCAACAGCTCCAATATCATGTGAGAGCTGGGGATCGTGCTGTTGATGCTCCTTGGAGCCCGGACTCCTGGGAACTCCGTTCGTCGTCGTATGTCGTTCTTCGTCGTTCGTCATTCGTGGTTCGTCGACGATCGCGATGTGTCGATCGTCAGTCGTCCGTCGTCCGTCGCATCGTTCGTCGCACAATGAGCATCAACAACAACATGAGTCGACTTCCATCGTCTCGTTTACTCTCCCAAGGAGCAACGGTCGGCAGCATCAAGTCGAAGTACCCCGTCCAGCTCTTCCTCGACGGCATCAAGGACCGACGGAGCTTGACGCCTCTGAAGGCTAAGGCGCAGGACGACCTGACGAAGGAGACGACCAAGATCGAAGCCAAGCTCCGTCTCAAGTACATCTCGAAGCTCGATACGGCCTGCGAGTTGCGCAACCCGACGTTTGTGAGAGGGAAATCTTGGCCCGAGCTGTCCGATACCATCCAAGAGTTCGAAGACGAGGCTGAGCTGGTATGGCCTAAGAGCATCATCTTCAGCATAGCTGATTTGAGGCAATCTACACTATCTGATGCTGCAGATTGGGAAGGTCATTTGAAGGTCTTTCGGTGCTGGGCGCCACCAGAGGGACAGAAGCTCGACCTCATCAACCCGAGCTTCGGCATGGCTTGTGTGACAAGCGGAACTGAGGAGGCGATTGGCGACAGCTTGAGGTCTTTGCTGAGACACTTCGTCAAGGTGGTCTACTCCGAGCATGTGTGCCCTTGGATATTCGACGGGATTTCGAAGCTGGCGACCCTCAAGGCTTACGCTCTGGCCGCCGTGAAAGTGTTCAAGGACGAGGACATTTGGGAGCTGCCCAGGGACGCCGCTTCCTTCATCCAGGATGTTCCTACGGCCCCCTAAACAGTTTTGGCTCCCTCCTCCTCCCTCCCTCCTCCTCCTCCCCTTCCCCCCTCTCTCGGGGGAGGGGGGGGGAGGGTTCCCCCCCCCTCTACCGAGGGGGGAGGGGGGGGTGATGAGGAGGAGGACGGGGCGGAAGGAGGGGAGGAGGAGGAGGAGGGAGGAGAAGGAGGAGAAGGAGGGAGGAGGAGGAGGAGGAGGCCGGAGGAGGAGGAGGGAGGAGGAGAGATCCAAGATGAGGTTCACCTGAGATTCCAGTGTGCCAAGTAAGTGTCGTATGTTTACGCCAGCAACAGGTTCTCACCACCATGAGGGCCATCGTCACGTTGATTGACTTCCTGCCGACCGCTGATGGACATGAAGACGTTCAAGATTTGATCAAGCACATGACGAAGTCGTCAGACTGTGTCCAGGTGCGGATCCTCCACGCCGTGGACACAACCGAGTTTTGGAAGAACCGTTTGAAGACCTACAAGGACGCGATTCCCATGCTGATCGAGAAGGACGACATTCTGAAAGATATGGATCAGCTGATGTCCGACAGCCCGTCCGCCCCAGAAGATCGCAAGGGCCTCGCGCAGAAGTTGCAGTCGTACTGCGAGGCCATGGTTGACATGCAGGCCGTCATTCCACAAGATTGCCTCAGCAAGGTATCCACCAAGCTTTCCGACAAGGTGACGGCCCTCGTGAAGGAGCTTCTTGATGCAGAAGGTGCGCTGACGGACACAACGCTTTTGGACTCACTCCAGAAGCTGCTCGCTGCGTCCGTGATTGCGTTTCCCATGTCTGCCGCCATGGCTGAGTCGCAGTCGCAGGTCGGGGCCCGAGTTGCACAGCTGAACGCGGCCGCCCGCGTCGACAACTTCAAACGTGCGCTGGAGGAGCTTAGCGGGAAGGCAACCGAGAATAACGAGGACGAGCGGAGGACGGCTGCCAACGCCGCGGTGAAGTTCGCAGGGAGCGTCCAGCGCCACGAGCTGGTCGATAAGGTCGGGATGGATTTGCTTGTGAAGTGCTGCAAGACGCTCCTGGACTGGATCTCACCCGACGGTTCGGCCCAGATCGACTCGGTGCTCATTGATTGTGGGCTGAAGCTGTGCGATGCCATCCCCACGAAGGGCTGCCCAGAGATCCGCCGCCTATTCGACGCCGTGCGGGCCTCGGCCACCTGCAGCCTCAGCGTGCAGTCGATCCAAGCGACTGAGGACGGCAGCCACGAGGTCACTGTCGAGCAGCAGAAAGAGACGACGGCAAGGATGCGCCGTGCCCTCTGCACTCTGAAGGAAACAGAGCACGCCATGATGCCAGAGATCAGCGATCTCAAGAAGCACTTGTCGGAGGCGACAGTCGGCAAGGTGGTGCAGATGGCCAGCGCGGTCAAGGACGCCACACACACTGCCGACAAGGCGGTGCACGCCAGGGCCGTGGCGAAGGCCAAGGCCGCCTTGCAAGAGAGCGTCACGGCAGTGCGTGAGGCCCTGAAGAAGACGTACACGCACGGTGCCGACGGCGGCGTGACCGAGTCGTGGAGGCCTGCGAAGGGTGTCCCGTGGTCGGAGCTCGTGACAGTCTACGAGGCGAAGTTGAAGGATGTGGACCTTGGCAATGCGTACGACCTCGCAGACGAGTGCAAGAAGAAGCACGAAGACTACAAGACGGCCCTCCAGGACGCTGGCGACGCGAACCCCGACACAGTCGAGATGAGGCATGCTATGGTCTTCCTTCAGGCGCTTGTGGTCGCCAAGACGGAGCAGGCGATCATCGAAGCGATTACAGGTGATATGGATAAACCAGTCCTGCGCACGGAGGTCCAGACGGCCATCAAGAAGCTGCGCAGCTACGGCCTCCAGGAGAAGGCGGCGCTCCACTTGACGATGTTCAATCGCGCCTTCCAGGTGATCACGTCCAAGTGATCGAGGCGAGACGGCTGGCCTGGCCGTCCGACCGCCCTCGAGGCGAACCGCCTGGCCTCGCCGAGAAAAAAAAACATTATCCTGGCGAAAGACCCAACCATAAGCAATTGTTGGTAACGCGTTGTGGGTGCCGCTTTCGGTGGGGCTCCATATGGGGCCACGAAGCGCTGCCTTGGATAGGGGGAACCGCATGCGGACTGCGCCACCGGGGCGGGCCTTCGGTGGAGCTCCCTATGGGGCTACGAAACGCTGCCCTGGGTGGGGGAACCGCATGCGAACTGCGCCACTGGGGCCTTCGGTGGAGCTCCCTATGGTGCCACGAAACGCTGCCCTGGGTGGGGGAAGCGCATGCGAACTGCGCCACGGGGGCTTTCGGTGGAGCTCCCCATGGGGCCACGAAGCGCTGCCCTGGGTGGGGGAACCGCATGCGAGGGCAGCCACTGGGGCCTTCGGTGGAGCTCCCTATGGGGCCACGAAACGCTGCCCTGGGTGGGGGAACCGCATGCGAACACCCCCACTGGGGCCTTCGGTGGAGCTCCCTATGGGGCCACGAAACGCTGCCCTGGGTGGGGGAACCGCATGCGAACACCCCCACTGGGGCCTTCGGTGGAGCTCCCTATGGGGCCACGAAACGCTGCCCTGGGTGGGGGAACCGCATGCGAACACCCCCACTGGGGCCTTCGGTGGAGCTCCCTATGGGGCCACGAAACGCTGCCCTGGGTAGGGGAACGCATGCAAACACCCCCACTGGGGCCTTCGGTGGAGCTCCCTATATGGGGCCACGAAACGCTGCCCTGGGTGGGGGAACCGCATGTGGACACCCCCACTGGGGCCTTCGGTGGAGCTCCCTATGGGGCCACGAAACGCTGCCCTGGGTGGGGGAACCGCATGCGAACACCCCCACTGGGGCCTTCGGTGGAGCTCCCTATGGGGCCACGAAACGCTGCCCTGGGTGGGGGAACCGCATGTGGACACCCCCACTGGGGCCTTCGGTGGAGCTCCCTATGGGGCCACGAAACGCTGCCCTGGGTGGGGGAACCGCATGCGAACACCCCCACTGGGGCCTTCGGTGGAGCTCCCTATGGGGCCACGAAACGCTGCCCTGGGTGGGGGAACCGCATGTGGACACCCCCACTGGGGCCTTCGGTGGAGCTCCCTATGGGGCCACGAAACGCTGCCCTGGGTGGGGGAACCGCATGTGGACACCCCCACTGGGGCCTTCGGTGGAGCTCCCTATGGGGCCACGAAACGCTGCCCTGGGTGGGGGAACCGCATGCGAACACCCCCACTGGGGCCTTCGGTGGAGCTCCCTATGGGGCCACGAAACGCTGCCCTGGGTGGGGGAACCGCATGCGAACACCCCCACTGGGGCCTTCGGTGGAGCTCCCTATGGGGCCACGAAACGCTGCCCTGGGTGGGGGAACCGCATGCGAACACCCCCACTGGGGCCTTCGGTGGAGCTCCCTATGGGGCCACGAAACGCTGCCCTGGGTGGGGGAACCGCATGCGAACACCCCCACTGGGGCCTTCGGTGGAGCTCCCTATGGGGCCACGAAACGCTGCCCTGGGTGGGGGAACCGCATGCGAACACCCCCACTGGGGCCTTCGGTGGAGCTCCCTATGGGGCTACGAAACGCTGCCCTGGGTGGGGGAACCGCATGCGAACACCCCCACTGGGGCCTTCGGTGGAGCTCCCTATGGGGCCACGAAACGCTGCCCTGGGTGGGGGAACCGCATGTGGACACCCCCACTGGGGCCTTCGGTGGAGCTCCCTATGGGGCCACGAAACGCTGCCCTGGGTGGGGGAACCGCATGTGGACACCCCCACTGGGGCCTTCGGTGGAGCTCCCTATGGGGCCACGAAACGCTGCCCTGGGTGGGGGAACCGCATGTGGACACCCCCACTGGGGCCTTCGGTGGAGCTCCCTATGGGGCCACGAAACGCTGCCCTGGGTGGGGGAACCGCATGCGAACACCCCCACTGGGGCCTTCGGTGGAGCTCCCTATGGAGCCACGAAGCGCTGTAATGGGTGGGTGAAACGCAGAGAGGAGGGAGGAGAGGGAGGAGGAGGGAGGAGGAGGGGGAGGAGGAGGAGAGGAGGAGAGGAGGAGAGGAGAGGACGCGGGCACCGTCTCTTCAAAACGAGGACCCAACACCACAGGATGGTTGGGAAATATGAGACTGGTGCGAATCGGAACCCCGAGGATGGCACGAGACATGAGTTGACCATCGTGTGAGATGGGATTTGATATGCGAAGGTTTTTTTATCGAAGACGCCTTCGGCGAATCACCGCCACCCCTGCCCTTTGGAAAAGCCAGTGTGGTTAAGTAGAACAGCGTAGCCCCGCACTAAAACTGGACACCCCAGGAGTTCACGAAAGTTGCTCAGTTGCTCTGTTGCTAAGTTGCCAAGTTGCTAGGTTGCTCAGTTGCTCTGTTGCTAAGCTGCCCAGTTGCTAGTTTGATCAGTTGCTCAGTTGCTGAGTTGCTCAGCTGCGCCGCTGGAGCTTTCGGAGCTAATGAGAGTTGCGACAGTTGCGAAGTTGACATTGTCCATCCTACTTGGACCCTCTTCCTCATCCAACTGTCCCCCCTCCCCTTAGTGAATCCACATCCAACGCAACCACCCACTAGTGCAGGAAACGATCAATGTGAGCAGACCACTAGCGTTGCCGCGTTTTCGCCCGACATTTGCTGATCCCCTTCCTGGGGTGCTGCCAAATGCTCAACTGTCTCGCCTCTTCGAAAATGAGGGTGACGATGGGCGCGACGAAGACGCACGATAGTCAGGCGAATCGCCGAGCAGGCGCCAAGGTCAACCAACCTTCGCCCTCCCAACTCCGCGTCCTCGTCCATTCTGTCCCCCCCCGCACATCCTCTCCCAGCTCTTCCACTTCTTCCACTGCAAACCCTCCATCCCAGATTCCTCCTTTCTTGCCCCTCTTCATCCTCCGCCTGGAGGCGCGGCCAGGCGCAGTCATGGGCTCTGGGGGCGGCGGGCTTCGAGCTTCCTGCAGCATTTTTTCGAAGAGGACTTCGCGCGGTGGACTCGCGCGCAGCGGGCTTGTCCCGCTGCGCGCGAGCGGGCG